TATTGGTCTGCCTGGTGCCCGGGTCAAGAATGTCATGGAGCATCTGCAGGATATCCTTCAGGGAAGGTCGATGGCGGTGGAGGAATCTGTCTGAAGTCATGGTCCATTTTGGTACCAGAAAGATGGATGAGGTCTGAAAGTATGTTTTAGGGAGCGGAAACTTTAAAAAAACACAGGATCTGAACAGCAATAGGAAGGATATAATTAAATTGGAGATGGTTCAGAAAAGATTTACCAGGATGTTGCCGGGACCGGAGGGTTTGAGTTATAAGGAGAGGCTGGATAGGCTGGGACTTGTTTCACTGGAGCTTAGGAGGTTGAGGGGTGTCCTTATAGAGGTTTATAAAATCATGAAAGGCATAGATCGGGAAAAAAGACCTTTGCTATTCTCTTTAAGGTGGGGGAGTTCAAAAGTAGGAGGCATATTTTTCAAGTGAGAGGAGAAAGATTTAAAAAGGACCTGAGGGACAACAAAGAGTGGTTCATATGTAGAATGAACTGCCAGAGGAACTGGTAGGTGCAGGTACAGTTGCAACATGTAAAAGACATTTAGATAGGTACATGAAGAGGAAAGATTCAGAGGGACATGGGCCAAACAAAGGCAAGTGGGACTAGTTTAGTTTGGGAAACTGGTCAACATGGACAAGTTGGACCAAAAGATCGGTTTCTGAGCTGTATGTCTCTATAAGAACTCGATTGAATACTTGGCTAGAGAACTGGGGTATGACAGAAGGCATAAGATTTCTGAGGAATTGGGGACTGGTTCTGGAGTAGGGGGAACCTGTAACAAGTTGGACAGGTTACATCTTAATCAAATTGGGACAGGCATCTTCATAGAAGGATTTGTCAGTGCTTACATAAGCAAAGGATTTTTTTTTACAGAAATATCACATGACTTATAGTAATTATACATTCCTTCAAGTTGCAAACACTCAAGAGGTCATACAACCATGGCTAACAAATGAACATCAGGATTGTACAAAATTAAAAGAAATGGCACATAAAGTTGTCAGAGACAAAAAAAACTGGAAAAAACTGCAGGACAGATAATCAAGACGGACTACATGAGAATTAAACCAGAAGGCATGAACACCCCCTGCTTCTATGAACTTCCTAAGGTACAAAAATCAGACATTCCCCTCAGTCCCATTGTTTCCCTACCAGGCACACCTTCACACAAACTGGCCATGGACCTACAACAGAGACTGAAACACCCAGTCGACAGATCACCCCATTCCATCCACTCAACCCAAGAACTCCTCAATACCCTCAAGAACATAAAAATCAGCGACGACAAGATTATAGTATCCTTTGACATCACAGTATTATTCACGTCAACTGACATCACACTAGCCAAAGAAACACTGGCTACGTTACTAGAGGAAGCAGGAATGCAGACCAGCAATGACAACATACTGAAACTACTAGACTTGTGCCTCACTACACATTTCGTCTTTCATGGTCAAGTATACAAACAGATCAATGGCACACCCATGGGGTCATCCATTTCAGGACTCATCGCAGAGGTAGTCATGCAAAGACTCGAACACACCACTGTCCCCCGCATTCAACCTAAACTGTGGATCCGGTACATGGATGACACATTTGTTATTATTAAATGTAACAAGCTAGAAGAGGCCCATCACCTCATCAACAACGTATTCGCCGGGATTAAATTCATGAGAGAAGGAAAAAACAACAATCATCTTCCGTTTCTGGACATCAGAGTTGAACGTATGACCAACAGGGAGTTCCAAAATCAATATATAGGAAAGCAACCCACATTGACCAAATCCTCAACTTCCACAGCAACCACCCCAATGTCCACAAACAAAGCTGTGTTAGGGCACTATTTAAATGGGCCACCACTCATTGCAACATGCCAGAACTACACAGCAAAGAGGATGAGCACCCATACAAAATCTTCGCAATGAACGGATATCCCCGTAACTTCATCCACAGCTGCCTACTAAACAGACAACAAGGGGACACAGTACACTCTAACACACTGGCCACACTGCCCTACATCAAGAACATATCAGAACGGTCAACGAGACTCCTACAACCACTAGGAATCATGGTAACACACAAGCCCACAGCCACTCTACGACAAATATTCATAAGAATTAAAGACCCCATTCCCACAACATGCAGAACCAATGTAGTTTACAAAATACCATGTAACGACTGCCACAAACATTACATCGGACAGACAGAAAAGAAGCTAGCCATCAGAATACACGAACATCGACTAGCTGCAAAACGACATGACAAACTTCCCTTAATATCCGCTCCACCCTTCCCACTGACCAACCACAATAATGTCCTACCTGCACCCAACTATCACCTTCCTACCTACTCTTCACCCAGCCCCAGCCCCATCCCCCTCTCTCTGTTTACTTCTGGGCTCATCTCCCCCTCTCCAGTCCTGACGAAGGGTTTTGACCCGAAACATTGACTTTCCTGCTCCTCGAAGACAACCTGGTTTGTCCTGAGTGATATGTGAGGACAAGGGGGATTCTGTTGTTGTTTTTGTTGGGATGTGAAGGCAGAAGGCACACTCCCCACTAGTCCCACCAGCCCCAAATGACAACACCTTCCGGTCGCGAACCATTTCAACTCCCCCTCCTACTCCCTGGGTGACATGTCCATCCTGGGCCTCCTCCCCCTCCTACTCCCTGGGTGACATGTCCATCCTGGGCCTCCTCCAATGTCACAATGACGCCACCCGGAAACTGGAGGAGCAGCACCTCATATTCTGCCTTGGCAGCCTACAACCCAATGGTCTCAATGTGGACTTTACCAGTTTCAAAATCTCGTCATCCCATGACCAACAATCCCTCTCATTCCTGCCTCCTTGACCTGACACAACTCATCTATCTTCTCTCCCACCTATCCGCTCCTCCCACCTCACTGACCAATCCCCACCACTGCCTACATACACTCACCAATCACCATCCTACCTACCTTCCCCAGCCACAACCCCCCTCTCTCTATTTATTTCAGGGCTCACTTCCCCCTCTCCCATTTCTGAAGCAGGGTTTTGATCCAAAACATCAACTTCCCTGCTCCCCTGATGCTGCCTGGCCTGCAGTGCTCCTCCAGCTCCACACAGTGTTATCTTGGAAATTCATTCCTAATGTTACTGGGGTATTACTATCATAGTCAAAGATTGCTGCAGGCATTTTCTTTGCTTTACACTATCCAAAATAAAAGTTGCACTAAGTATACTACATTTTCTAGATTTTAGTAGTTCACTGACCTGGCTTTCTTACTAAATGCTTATTTCAAATTACCTCAGAACTGAGATAACTCAACAAAGATCAGTTCTCTTGATTACCTTGTCATTCTGGTACTCAGTTATGCATTTAATTGCTTACAGCATTTTTTTTTAATTGACTATTTTGATTAACTGCCTTTTTCCTTAGCTGGCACTGAATTAGATATTCAATCAAATACACCATTTTTAAAGATCAAATCTAATTTATGCACGAAAAATGCAAGTTAAAACAAAGGGCTGTGCCATCAAACACATGACAATAGAGACTAGCCTCAAAATGGACTAAGTGCACTCAAAATGTTGTTGTCAATCACTAATATTTATTCAAATACCTATTAACATACAGTCATTTGAATTGAATTTCTGATAATTGAATAGAATAATTAAGTGTAATTTGTTTTCTATTGTATTCTTTTTCCCAATTCAAGTTTTGTATTCAAAATGCATAAAAGGTAACAATTATAAATTAAACATTAAGCCTTGAAGGCTCCTTACACAAGTATTTTTAGTTGCGCTCTTATGCTCTTTCCCACATTATTATGCAAATTGCTCCAACGAAGTCACAAGTCCCAACTATGTCTGTTAAGAAAGAAAGAAATATACAAAGAGCCTCGATGTCTCAACTGCTATCCAACAATACCTCCTGAAACACATGAACATTGACTGACACAGGAATTGGGATTAGCCTTGATGCCTCTTCATATAAAGCCTGCTAATATTTACTGAGAAGGTTTACATTTGAATTATGGTCATTTCAGTAGGTTGTTAGATATCATCCAGCCTCCATGACATTTGTTATTATTTCAGGTAAGGACAGTAGTACAATGAAACTAATGGAAAAGAATGTCAAAGAAAAATCTGTACTGAAAGACAGATGTCAGTATTGGGTAGGTAGTTTATTTCAGTACTGCCACAGACAACATCAAGCAATCCAAGAACGTACACATATGTTTGCAGGTTAAATTACCCCTTTGGGTTTTTACACAATAAAATACATTTTCTAAAAACTGTTTTTTTTTTCTATTTCTCTTTTTAAAGTCATTCAGTTAGAATGTCAAGTTTTATTAAATTACAGTCTATTTTATAGTTTAGTTCCAGCAGCCAATTGACCAGCAATGGAATTAAAATATTTCTGCAGGTAATTTTGGCAAAAAAATTAAAATTACATAAAATATATGTTGTCTAATACTTTGACTTCTTCCTTCATTATATGCTAAATTTATTTCATTACAATTTTCTTCACCTTACTTATAGACTTACTGCAGAGATATATCCTCTTAGAATAATCACTCTTGACATGAATTCAACAGGGATATTTGAACTTCAATCCATCTTCCTGCAAGTGTTTCCAGAAGTGGTCACTGGATAGCAACGAGAAGCAAATTGCAACCTCTCTGAACCAAAGGCAGTAAAGTCAAACGTATTGCCCCGATTGGTGCTCCGATAGAGATTGAATCTGGCAAATCTGTTAGTGTTCCTCACTTTTATACTAAGGTACGTCTCAATCTTAATGAGGTGAAACATCGAGAGATTTTGCATTACATTTCTTTACTGATTGCTGTTCAATAAAGCTTCAATTTTACATCTCCTGCAGAATAGTGTTCTACCAGATTTCCAGTAATGATTAGCCCAAGAGCTAAAACATGGATCCAGCAGTTGAAGTTGATGCTGTTTTGGTTCAATGCAACTGCTTTGTTTGAAGTTAACAAAAAGACTGTACCTGGACACGGTCCCATTGTTCTTGCAATTTCGCTGGCAATTCTCCTTCCTGTTCATCAGTTTCTTCTTTCACTCTTGCTAATGTTGTGTCTTGTTCTGTCCCAACTGGCTAAAATAAATGAATTCAAAATTACTTTAGTATCTGTAGAGTCATAAGTGTGTTGTGTGTAAATCTTTTAGCCTACATAAATCATGAGGAACCAGATGAAAAGTGCATCTCAACAATTTGACACTACGGGATCAATTTTTTTAAATGAAGTCTACTCAAACAAAACACAAATATTTTAGACACCATGGCCCACAATGTACACAGAGGCAAAGTATTATGGGTGTTGGAAATCGGAAATATAAAGAGAAAATGTTGAAAATATTCAATTTGAAAGGCAGCATCTGTGAAGAGAAAATTATTCAACATTTTGCCTCAATGACCTTTTGTCAGAACTATATAACTATGTGAAAAGTATAATTGATTCAATTCAAATCAGTTATCTCCAATCATTCTTCAATTTATATTCCGATAATTAAAATGCCTAATTGTATTCTGTTGTGATGTCTAATTCAGACAATGTCACACATGCAGATGGAGTTGGAAAATGAAGCGCTCCATGTGAATAATAAGCCTGAAAATGCCTTCTGGTTGGTGCAAGGTAATTCAAATCAGACAAAATAAATTTGGTTACACATAATTATTTAGTCATGCTTAACCATACAATGTCATAGAGTTTTACAGCACAGAAGGAGGCCCGTCGGCCCAACATGGGGTCTGTGCTAGTCATCAAGTGCTCTAGTCCCATATTCCATCACTTGGCCTACAGCCTTGTACGTTATGGCATTTCAAATGACCAGCTAAATACTTAAAGGTTGTGAGGGTTCCTGTCTATACCATTCTTTTGGGTAGTGAGCTCTAGATAGCCCCCACCCTCTGGGTGAAAGATCTTGCCCTCAAATCCGCTCTACACCTTCTGGCCTTTCCTTAAATCAATCCCCCCTGGTAGCTGACTCATCTACTAAGAGGATAAGTTTCTTCCCATCTATGCCCCTCATATTTGTGTACACCTCAATCAGGTGCCCACCCCCCAATCTTTGTGTTTGAAGGAAAACAACACCAGTCTATCTAGGCTCACTTCATAGCTGAAACAGTCCAGCCCAGGCAACATCCTGAGGAGGCTCCTCTGCACCAATTCTAGTGTAATCACACCCTTACAATTATGCAACAACTACTATAGTACTCCACCTGTAGCATTTTATGTAGCTCTATCATAACCTCCCTGATCATATGTTTAATGTCTTGATTAGTAAAGGCAAGTTCTCAAATGCCTTCTTAAACACCTGATCAAACTGTGTTTCTGCCTTCAAGGATATATGGACAGGGACTCCAGTCTCTCTGTTCCTTTGGATTTCCAAGAATCCTACCAGTCATTGTGTATTCCATTACCTTGTTAGTGCTTCCAAAATGCATCAGCCCATGCTTTTCAAGATTAAATTACAATTTCAAGTGTTCTTCCCATCAGACCAAGCCATTTATAATATCCAGTAGTCTAAGATTTTCCTCATTATTTACCACACCAACTTTTGTGTCTTTTATGAACTTACGGATCACACCTCCTAAATTCATGTCTAGATCATTAATGTATACACCTAAATGTAAGGGACTCAACACTGAACTATATGGTACTTCACTGGAAACAAACATCCACTTGCAAAAACAACCTTCATCCATCACTCTCTGACTCCTACCACCAAGTCAATTTTAGATCCTTTTTGCCAAATTGCCCTGGATCCCAGGGGCTCCTTCATTCTCGACCAGTTTCCTATGAGATACCTAATCAAAAGCCTTACTGAAGTCCATGCAGACTACATCAATTTCACTACCCTCATGGACACATTTAGTCACTTCTTCAAAAATTCAATCAAGATTTGTTCGACATGATCTCTCCCAATAAAGCTAAACTGACTACCATGATTAACGCAAGTGGATAGTAATTCTGTGCCTTAGAATGTTTTCCAATAGTTTAAGAACCACTAATGTTAGACTCTCTGGCCTACAGTTTCCTGGTTTAATACTACGAGTCTTCTAGAATAATAGCACGACATTAGCAACCTTCCTTTCCTCTGGCACCTCTGCAGTGGCCAGAGAGAATTTGAAAATTAATGTAAGAGCCCCTGCAATCTCCTCCACTGTATCCCACAGCAACTTAGGATCATCTGGGCCTGAGGGACATAACCACTTTTGAGCAGGCTAAAACTACCAATAATGCCTCCTCCTCTGTGCTAATTTGTTCAAACATATTATTCTTTCTGTCTGATTTCTGTACCTCCATTATCTTTCTCTATAGTGAATTCACTTTCCAGTTCCATATATAGATTACCACATTGGTCGCTGATTTTTTTTCGGGTGGGGTTGGTGGTGTGGTAATCTTTCTCTGGTTTTCTTCTTCCCCCTAATATACTTATAAAATACCTTTTAATTTCCATTTATTTTGCCCACCAGTGTTTCTTCATGCCCTCTCTTCTCACTGCTAATTTCTTCAAGTAACCTCCTGCAATTTCCATTCTACTCTAGGGCTTCTAGCATTTGGAACCCCATCTTCTATAAGTTAGCCCTTATTTTCTCATCAATCCAATACAACAGGGTTGGCATCCAGGGTTCTCTGGACTTGTTGGTCCCACCCTTCAAATTTATGGGAATATACTGGCATTGCACTCTTAATTGTCCTTTTTGAATGACTCCCATTACTCTGATGCAGATTTTCTGACAAGCAGCTGCTCCCAGTCAACTTTGGTCAAATCATATTAAACTCAGCCACCTGCCTGGCTTTGTTCCCTAAAGTCAGGTCAAAGCACCACCCTCACTCTTTAAGACACTCTCACTAATGTCTTTAAGCATCAGTAATATTGGGAGATAAATTCAAAAATGCTATTTTTTTCTGGGAAAAGATAAAGGGCTGAATCTTATATTTTTTGACTAAGAGTAGGTTGTGGCGAGTCTTTTCCAGTGATTCTCACCAGAAAGTTTGCAATGCCCAGGAAGGTTTTACACCATATCCTACCAAATTTGTTTCATTAATTACCTACTGAGTGCCTATGGTGTCCCTCACATCTGATTCCATCCCCATTTTAACATGTGCCATTTTTGGAAAAACTCACCATTTACAAGATATCTACTGAAAGAAGTACATCCCTTGCGTCTGTGTCATCTTTAAAACTGCATTGTGCACCCAAACAAACACTGCCAGTCTGGAGCTGCCCTACATGGTTCCTGATATTTGACATGGACAGTGGGAAACTGGAACCCTTCTTTGAAGGAAGAAACTTGGTGGACCAGGCGGTGCAGGTGTGGGGCATCATCTGTCCTCAGGCCCAGTAATGGAAGCCACAACACCAGACCATTCCAGCCTGGTTGCATTTGCTACCCTGCTCACAGTAGTCTCAGGCACCTGGAGGAATGTACAGCAATGTAGCAAAAAAGTCAATGACGTTCTCCACACTGCCAGCAAAAGTGCCATCATTTTCTCTCTGGTATCTCACAATCACATTGCTATTGCATGCAACCCCTCCCAACAAGGCTCATGTTCTACCACTCTCACTATTGCCTGAAACATCTTTCCGGCTCACACTCATATCCCCAACTCTGACCAAAAGGGATGCTGTTGCCACCCACTTTCATCTCCCACAATACCTGTCTTTCTCTCATTCCATAAGGACAGCAGCCCACATTAGGGGAGAAACAATCAAGGTAAGCTGTCCAACATTCAGTTACTCACTCTTTATGAGGATAGCAACCTGACCCTGACGTTTTTTTTTTGAAGTTTGGGATTAACTGAGAAACAGGAATAAGTGAAAGTCAGAGTCAATATGAAGAAGGAATATAAATAAGGAGAGTACAATAAGAGAAGCGGAGTAAAGTTATTGTAAAGGGAAGTAAGTTAAGACTAAGTCAGTAGGTAAAACTTAAGTAAGTTTAAGTTTAAGGCATGGCAGCACAGATTGGTCAAATTGAATGTGTATTCTGTAATATATAGGAAATCATGTATCCGACTCGTATCCGAAATGATCACATGTGCAGGAAGTGCACTTAGCTACAGAAAGGTACATCCATAAAGCTAAGAGTTCATGGAAAACTTATTGAAAGAAGTGATCACATCACAGCTTAAGGGTCTGAAGGGAGCAGGTGACCACCACGCAGTTCAAGAGATTCAGGAAGGAAGCACAGCAATCCCAGGGTTCCACTCAAAATGTTCTTCCATTTTGGAAGCTGATGAGGGCATTAGTTCCTCAAGGGAGTGCATAGAGTTATACAGCAGAGAAACAGATCCTTGGTCCAATCAGTCCATCCTGAACATAATCCTAAATTAAACCAGTCCCACCTGCCTGCTCTTGGCCCATATCCCTCCAAATCTTTCTTATTCATGTACTTATCCAAATGCCTTTTAAACATTATAATTGTACCCACATCCACCACTTCCTCAGGAAGATCATTCCACATGTGAACCACCCTCTTTGTAAAACATTTCCCCCTCATGTCTTTTTTTAAATCTCTCTTCTCTCACCTTAAAATTGTGCCCCCAGTCATGAAATCCCCCATCCTAGGGAAAAAACTGCAACAATTAACTCTACCTATGCCCCTCATCAACAAGGTTGCCTCTCAACGTCCTATGCTCCAGTGAAAAACGTCCAAGCTTATCCAGCCTTTCTTTCAAACCTTCCATCCCCAATAACATTCTGGTAAATCTCTTCTGAAACCTCTCCAGCTTAATAATATCCTTCCTATAACTGGGCAACCCAGAAATGGACGCAGTATTCCAAAAGAGGCCTAATCAATATCCTGTACAAACTCAACATGATTTTCTAATTCCTATACTCTAAAGAATTGAGCAATGAAGGCAAGCATGCTAAACGCCTTTTTAACCACCCTGTCCTATACTTTGCAAACTTCAAAGATTTATAGATCTGCACCCCTAGGTCCCTCTGATTTACAACACTATCCATGGTCCTACCATTAATTGTATAAGCCCTACTCTTGTCTGTTGTACCAAAATGCAGTACCTCGCATTTATCCAGATTGAACTCCATCTGTCATTTTTCAGCCCATTGACCCATTTGATCAAG